TAAAAAGGTCCGGCCCTGGCCAGGAGCGGTGGCTCACACCTGTAATCCCAGTACTTTGGAAGGCCGAGGCGGGTGGATCACTAGGTCAAGAGATCAAGACCATCCTGGTCAACATGGTGAAACCCCGTCTCTACTAAAAATACAAAACATTAGCTGGGCATGGTGGCGCGTGCCTGTAATCCCAGCTACTCAGGAGGCTGAGGCAGGAGAATTGCCTGAACCCAGGAGGCGGAGGTTGCGGTGAGCCGAGATCACGCCATTGCACTCCAGCCTGGGTAACAAGAGCGAAACTCCGTCTGAAAAAAAAAAAAAAAAAAGGTCCGGCTCGGGCCCAATGTCAGCCTCAAAGTCAAAAAAGTTGATTGGAAGACGGAGTTGCTGTTATGTTGTCATTCAATTAAATATATGTTACCATTATCCATGATTCTGAACTTTTTTTTTTTTTTTTTTGAGACAGAGTCTTGCTCTGTCACTCAGGCTGGAGTGCAGTGGTGCAACCTTGGCTCACTGCAACCTCCGCCTCCCAAGTTGAAGTGATTCTCCTGCCTCAGCCTCCCAAGTAGCGGGGACTACAGGTGCCCGCCACCATGCCTGGCTAATTTTTGTATTTTTAGTAGAGACAGGATTTCACCATATTGGCCAGGCTGGTCAAAATCTCCTGAGCTTGTGATCTGCCTGCCTCAGCCTCCCAAAATGCTGGGATTACAGGCGTGAGCCACCGTGCCCGGCCCAATTCTGAACTTTTAAGTGCAAAATGGACAATGAATTTGTGTGTACTGCCCCCCAACGTGGGTGAAGTCTGGGTATGGGGGGGATGGCCCATGGGTGGGGGGGGTATTTAGCATTAGAGACAGCAGAGCAGAGAATAGCTCTGTATGCTGACTCTGTTGTCCTCTACCCATCCCCACCCTCGACACAGTTGCTTTATCCTGGTTCCCAAGACACCTTTCATTGTGTCACCCTGACACAAACCCCACCTCCAGCAAAAGCCTCCTGCAATCATACCCTCAGATGTACTTTGACATGTGATTTAAAACAGTCCTGGAAGTCCTTCCTAGCCTCGCCCTTGCTTCCATCTGCTTTTTTTGGGGAATCTGAGTTTGGATCCACTCCTTTTGATCACCCCAAGGCAGGGAGCTGACCCCCTCCTGGGGCCCTACGGCCCATCTGGCAGAAGAAAAGGGCTAGAAGGGACTTGTTGCTTGGTGACCTTCCAGGACGCCTCGCTCTCCGCCCTTCTCCCAGCCCTGACAATTCAATCCAGCTGACAGGACAGGAAATGGGAGTGAACCCAGGGTCACAGCATGAAGGTCCCTTTTCCCTGTGAGATGGGGACAGGGCTTGGGCCCACTCCCTCCCCGGAGCACCCTCCTCAGGGCTGCGCACCATTTCCACCCACTGTCTGGAAAGGAGGCTTGGCTCTTAGAGCCTTCTGTCCTTGAAACAAAATAAGCTGATGATATATTCAAATAGAAATGGAGCCTGGGGCACTAGTGACTCCCTAGAAGTGCAGCCAGGGGGTTAGATGTCACTCCAGGAGGCCCAGGAGGACCTGGGGAGGGGTCAGAGTTGATGACAGTTTCAGAACCACAGCATCCCAAAGTAAGGCTTCCGCTACTCTGAAAAAAGTCCTCCAGCTGTTGAGAGAGGTGGGGTAAGGGAGGGAGAGAGAAGTGATTTGCATTTCATTTGCATTCCTTTGCATATAGCTCTTTTGATGTCCAAAGGCACAGAAATTTCCTGTCCCGGCTTCTTTTTCCCTTTCTTTCTTCTGTTCCTTTCTAACCTCCAGGCAATCCCCTATCTCCCTCTCTCTCTTCCCCACAGCTTTCCTCTCCTAAGCTAAACAGGGACAAGGAGTTTCAGGCTCAGGGAAGCTGATGCTTTACACCTACCTCGCTCCAGCCCAAGGCTCAGGAAGCTGGTATCATAGAGGCTAGAAGAACTGGAAAGCAGGGAGGGACGAAGGAGTTCTCTACATTTCCATTCTATCACATCTAATTGAAATGATCTGTGAGCAAGTAGGAGAAAGAAGGAATCAAAATTGCTCACCATCCCCCCTCACCTCCATCCACACATGGGACTTAGAGGGCACTCCAGCCTTCTATGCCTCAGAAAGGGCATATGAGGGAGGAGCAGGGAATACTGAAAGGTCTCTGCTGAGCCATTTATTTGTTCTGTTCTCTGGAGCAAGTTCCCCTCCATGTGGGCCTCAGGTCCCTCAAATGAGGGGTTCCATGACAAGCAGCCCTGGGTCTAAATGCTGACTCTGTAGTCTACTAGCTGCGTTTACTTCTCCGAGCCTCAGTTTCCTCATCTGTTACCAAGGGCTAGCAATTGTACCTTCCATCTAAAGTTGCACCGACTAAAATAAGATGTGTGTTCAGCGTGAAGCACAGTTCATTGAGTGAATGAGTAAAGGAATGAATGTGAGGGAGAATCTGCTATCCTCTCCCCACCCGGCCCCTTCTGACCCCTTCATCCTCCCACCTCCACACTCCAACTGTGGAACCCACAGCTGTGCCTCCAACCGTGAACCTCCAAGGTGCTATCTGTGCCTCAGTTCCCACCCTTTCCCCACACAAACTCCATCTCCCCATTCCCCTCAGAATCCCAGACTCCTAGGCTGCTGGAGCCAGAAGGCTGTTCAGAATTGTCAAATATGAGCCTCTCTAACTTTTGGAAAACTAAAGCCCAGAGAAGAAATGTGACTACACACGAAAAAGGGCAACAGGCCCCAGATATGGTGGTCAGAGAATGAGACCCTCGGTGCACATGGCCACGTAAATAATATGCAGATAGACATATGGAAATCACAAGCACACAGGGGTATATAAGCTGTGTGTGGGCGTTCCTCCTGAATGATGGCAGGTGAGTGCAGCTGTAGGTAAGAAATGGACTTCAGGGAAGCGGCCAAACCTGATGTTGGGGAGAAGAAAAGGCGGGAAGGGGGTGGGAGTGGGGGGAGTGTTGAAGAGGAGGGAAGGAAGGAACAGAGGCTGAGAGTGTCCTGAGAGGGACCCCTTGGGCCTCCAAGAAGCCCTTGCTGCTCTCTTTCCTCAGCCGGAAGCAACAAGAAAAAGGTCATCTCCTCCCTTCTTTTCGGGATCGTGGGGAGGAGAGGTCCATGTGACTGGGGAGGTGGTGTACGTGGATCTGAGGAAGCACTTAAATGCTTCCTATTCCTCTGGGGCCACCGTAGCACCCACGGAACACTTTCCGATACCTTTTGCGCGTCCAGCCCTGTTCTAGGTGGTGGGGTGGGGGCAACAGAATGAAGCAATCGATCAGTTATCAACCAGGAGGGAAGCTAGGAAAAGGCCCCCAGAACCTGCCACAAAGGCTGTTAAGAATATGGAACTTGGCTGGGCGCGGTCGCTCATGCCTATAATCCCAGCACTTTGGGAGGCCGAGGCGGGTGGATCACGAGATCAAGAGATCGAGACCATCCTGGTCAACATGGTGAAACCCCGTCGCTACTAAAAATACAAAAAAATTAGCTGGGCATGGTGGCGCATACCTGTAGTCTCAGCTACTCGGGAGGCTGAGGCAGGAGAATTGCTCGAACCCAGGAGGCGGAGGTTGCAGTGAGCCGAGATCATGCCATTGCACTCCAGCCTGGGTAACAAGAGAGAAACTCCATCGCAGAAAAAAAAAAAAAGAATATGGAACTTAAACTCTCTAAGCCTCATTTTCCCCATCTGTAAAATGGCAATAGTCCTAATACAATGTACAGGTTGTGGGGAGGACTAAACAAGAATTAAAGGCACGAAACATTCCTTTCAAGTGTTGGTCAGCTCAGTGCTTGGCACACAGTGAAAGCACACAAAATGCTGGGTGTTATCAGGGTAATGATCGTGGTGCACGGTGGGATGGATGTGCCAGGATGAAAGGACACTGTAAACAAGGTGTAGAGGCAGGAAAACCCAGCACCTGTTCTGTGCGCAGGAAGTAGCCGGAGGGACTAAGGGGAAGACGCTCATGAGGAGTCCTGTCTAGGAAGGAAGGCGAAGCCCTGCCCTCCTGTTTGCACACAGCTTTATGGCCTTCCATGCAGACCATCCCTGGGTGACAGAACCACTTACTGGGACTTGAAGAGAGGGAGAGAAAGGGGTGAGCCTATGATGGGTGCTGCAAAGAGCACTGGAGTGGGAGTTCAGAGACCTGATTCCAGCCAGGCTCTGTCACTAGGGAAGCATGAACCTTTGAGCAAGTCACTTCCCAGCTCTGGAAGGTTGGCTGTCACCAAAAGCCCGGGCACTGGTAACTTCCATATCTATCCTCTCATAGAGCCACACAGCAGCCTGGGACCTGGGACAGGAGACTTCAAGGGGCAAGCAGGAAGCAGCTGTGTGCGCCTGAAAGCTGTGCTAATAAGTTGCACCCTGTCTAAATCCCACAATGCTGTGAGGATGCCATGGGGGTTAGGTGAGCTTGGCCACCTGCTCAGCTCCACAGAGAAGTCAATTCGCACCTGCCCCATTTTACAGATGAGTAAAACGAGCTCAGGGAGGTGAAGAACCTTGTCCCAGCCATACTGCTGGTAAGCGGTTGATAGGTGAGATTCCGGCAGATCCCCGCGACTTCGCCAAACGCTCTAGCTTCCTAGCAGGGCTTACACTTCAGGATCTGTCTAGAAGGAAGCTCGGGTTCAGGCTGGAGAACCTGCCAGGGCTTCCTAAAAAGGGCGAGCAGGACCAGGAGTTCACGCCTCGGCGGGCAAGCGGTGGGGAGGTGCTGCCATGCGGGGTTGGAGCAGGCAGGTGTTCCGCAGGATCGAGACCCGCCCCGGCAGCACCCCTGGCCCCCTCCCCAGGTCCCGAGCTCCACGTATGCAAATCGCTGCTTTGCATGGGCCCGGGGCCAGGCGCGGGGGCCCTGCCAGGGGGCGTGGCCAGCGGCCCCCGCCCCGCGCCGCGTGCTCACCTGGGGAGTGTGGCAATCCTGGCCGCGCCGAGTGTTGCCCGGGCCGGAGCAGCGGAGCGCGCGACGGTGGCGGCGACGGCTCCGGCAGCGGCTCCCGCGGCGGCGGCGGCGGCCGGGGACTGGAAGAAGGAGACCCTGGCTTCGCAGGGGGCCAGGCTGGGGCAGACGCGAGGGGCCTGGGGGGGCGCTGGCTTTGGCCCCGCCTGGGGCAGGATGGTGAATCTGGAGTCCCTGCACACAGGTGAGGGCCGGAGGGAATGAGCTCTGACAGGTGTCACTGCGTGTGAGCAGGGGCGAGGGAGAGGGGCACCGTTCTGGTGGGGGAGGGGGGGCTTGTTTCCCAGCGGCCAGGAGAGGGCGCTGTGGATAGCGGGTCGTCCTGGGGCGGGCGCAGGTCAGTGTCTGGGGACTAAAGGGAGGGGTCTGGGATAAGAACCCCTAGAAAAGAATGAGGGTGGGGGCTGGTAGAGGGTGGGATGGCTTTGAAGCCCCCTGATCTGGAGGGTGACAGTTGCGTGGGACTTGGTGTGCTGAACTATCATAGTCTCAGGAGGTTGCAGGCGCTGGGTGGTTCACTCACTCAGCCAGGGGTGTGGACCTGGGAGTGTGTAAGTGAGGGAAATGCGGGTATCCACATGCTGTGTGTTGGTGCCCAGGTATATGTGTGAAATGGAGGCAAAGTGAGCATTTATGTGGTGGGGAGCTTAGGAGAAGTGGGTGGGGTGGGGCAATTACAGAGGCGCACCTGGGGCAGGGGCCATGCTCCCATGTGTCTGAGAGCCGATGGTGACAGGCACATCTTCTGGTGTGCCTTCTTCCCCTGTCCCATGCCTTTCTTCCCTAAGGGGTGGAACCCGAGGAGATGCAAATGTTTTGCCTGGAGTCAGGCTTCCCTACATGAATGAATGAGAGATGGGCATGGAGTGAACCCAGCCTCTCCATTCACCTTGCTGTGCCTCCTTCCACAGCTGGGCTAAGGCAGGAGCTACTAGTCAGCCGGGTTGGTCTTGGCCTGGGGCTTGGTGTTGGGGTGGGCCTTCTGGAGGTCACAGGGCCTGAGCAAAGAACAGGTGAAGAAAGCTGTACCTGCCTTGGCCATTTCTAACCCAGCAACTTACTCTCAAAGTGAGCAGGACCCAGTGATCTTTCTTTAGGGTTTTGGGGCTGTTGATGGGAATTTTGTTACCTAGCCTCCTTTCTGGGAGAGTGGGAAGGAGGCAATTTTCCAGACCCATCCAAGAAGCACAGCAGGCTGCAGGATTTGGCCCTTACTGTGGCCTACCCAGCCTGAAAGCAAGCATCAGTGAGTGCCTGGAGGGAGGGGACCTGGAGTGCCCAGTTCCCCCAGATGCTATTTCCCAGCAGGGCTGAGTGAGAGGCAGGCTGGCAGTGAGATGTTGGCGCTGAGTGGCTCCCTAGGACGTGCCAGAAGGGCTAGGTGAGGCGGAAGAAAGCATCCAACTGGGTGTCATCCAGTGTCTGGGGAAAGTCTGTTTCTAGACTGGGCATACCTGGGGGCAGATCCCCAAGTAGGTGCTCTCCTCTTCACTTCCCGCCGAGGAAGCCAGGGTTTGAATAGGAGCAAGACTCTTCAGAAAGGTGGGCCTAGCAGTGGATAAGAAGTTTTTTGGGATGAAGATCACAGACTTCCTGGGGGTTCTCCACCTCCTTGTCTACTGGAGGCCCCCACTCTGCAGAAGTGGGAGGGGGTGGGACGGTTGGGACCCAGCAGAGAAGCAGCCTGGGGGCTAAGAGGATATAGCAGGGAGCCCTGGAGGATGAGGTTGAGAGAGGGTCAAGCCCCCTCTGCTTTCCCCAGGAGTGAGCTCCTGGCTGATGCTTCTCAGAAGCCCAGACACCTTCTCCACCCTGTCCCTGTGAGCAGGGATTCCTGACACATGGGGGGACTGAGCTAAACGCCAGGTGGGGTGACTCCTCAGGGTGGCGTCTCCGTCTATCTGGGGGTAGAGTCACTGATTCATCTCTCTCCATTTGGCTGCTTCCTCCTCAGCCCATTCCCCCTCAGGGCTGTCTGGCCTCCCTGTGCAGTTTCTGGGTCTTGGCCCCTCTGGAGTGTCTGAGGGTTCCCCTTCAGTGGCACCTCCAGAGGTCTCTGAGTCTGGAGCTTTCTGTGGTCTCTCTCCGACTGGGTATCTATTACAGGACTCTCTTTCCTGGATCCTCCTGGTGGGCTTTTCGGTTCGAGGTCTTCTTTGTAGGGTCTTCCAGTGCGTGCCCTGCTGTGGGGTCTGTGAAGGTGGGTCGCTCTTCCCTCTATGGCATATTTCATTATAGGTCCCTCCCTAGGGCCCCTTTGTCCAGGATCCTCTTTGTGGAAATGTGGTCTCTTTTAAGTCCTATTTCCCCCACCCCAACGGTAATCCTGCATGCTACTGATCTTGATAAACTGTACTTCCTCTGTGAATTCTCAGGCCTGGGCCCTTGGGGTCTCCTCCTTAATTGATTTACTGGAGGAGTTTGGATGGTGGAAGGAGGAGGAACAGGAGCACACAAACTAGGGCAAAGGCTTGCTCCCAGGTCCTCCACTCCTAGGACCCCACGCGCACAGCGGCCCCTGAGTCAGCACCATTGTCTTGCTCTGATAACCTGGGTACAAGCCCTGATTCAAGTCTGCCTGGAGCCTCACACCTTGTACTTTATAGAGCATCTTTCACATGGAAGCACAAAGATCTGAGCAGGCAGAAGGTCACCAGACACAGGGACTCCGCAGCAAGAAGAGGTTCCTTGCTCCCTGGCTAAAAACAGGCAGGAGTAGACCAGAAGTGGCCAGTTAGGGAGGCAGATAAGAAAAAAAGGAAAACAGTGGGAAGCCAGCTGGCGGGGGCACACCTGGTTTGCCCCAGGTGTCTCTTTTTCTGCCCTTCTCCTCACTGTGAGCTGTTCCCCATCAAGGTTGGGAAAGAGGGGCTGAGTCTCACAGACGGATGCCAATTAGAGCTCAGGAATCGTGTTTGGGTTGGAAGGGCCTGATGGTGGGAGTGAGAAGAAATGAGAGAAGTCTCCTCTAGGGGAGAGTTGGAGTCTTGGTTGGCTCAGAAGTGGGGCTGGTGGGTCCTTTGATGTCTCCTGATGGAAGCAGGTATGTGAGCAGGTATTGAGGGAGGAGCCAGAGGGAGCTCCTGTCCTTCCAATAACATGAAGATGGACACTAGGAGAGAGGGCTGTGGCTTCTGCTTTCCCTGAGTAGCCTGGTCCCAAGAGGTCCAGGGCCCTCAGCCTGCAGCCTGGGGGGAGCACTGCCTCTCAGGCTTTCCTCCCAGGGCTCCACAGATGTCTAAGGAGGGGTCACTCCTGGTCAAGTCAAGACTAACTTCAGGGTGTGATGGTGCTGAGTGGGACAGGTGAGGGTCTGTGGCTGGCATCTGGGCTCTAACACAGAGCAGCTGAGCCTCCCCAGGGAAGGGAGTGATGGCAAGGAGCCTACTTAGTCTCTGGCTGAGATAACACAGTGGAGCCTGGCCCCACCCCACACCTCTCTCACTCACCCCTGGCAAGTGCTGTCCGACAGGTGAAGGGTTACAGCGTCTCAGGGAGTTTCGGTGTTGGCCCATGTCTAGGCTGAGACCCAAAAGCTCGTCCCACCCATCAGCCTCAACCTCCTACCCAACAGGAACAGGTTCTCAGTGTCTTAGCATCCTATGGGACTCAAGAAGAGGTTTGACAGTTCATCTCACCCTGCCCCTCCAATCCTCAAGTGCCATCTTGTTGCTCCCATAGTGGTCCATCAAATGAGTAGACATCATGGCAGATGAGGAGGGGAGGGGGTTGATGCTTTTAAAAGTTATTTTTAGACTAAATTTTAGGCTAACTTAAAGGATGAATGAGATAGCTTTTAGGTGTATTTGAAGGGGAATGGGTGTTGGAGGAGAATGTGGGTTCTAGGAATAAGATTACAGTTTAGCTAAAGAAGTACCTTCTTAAGTGTCTGGAGTTTGTAATCAGCTGATTCAGAGACTCTGGTCATCATCCCAGCCTCATTGCCTCTTAACCTTTTCCTGTCTTCCTGAACACTTTTTCTATGAAGTCAGAATCTGGAGAATCCTAATAGTCTCCCAGATAAAGGACAAATTATCTGAGACAGAAAACCAAAGCTATTCCTTGTAATGGGGCAAGGGGTTAATGGAGGGGCATGAGAATAAGACAGGAAGGGAAAGGGACTAGCACCTAAGCCTAAGTGTCTGTTTAATTAGCTCATTTATTAGGTGCTAACTTTGTGCCTGGAACTTCTTTGCTGGCAGTTTTCATTCAGTATTTAATTTAATCAGCACAAAACCCCTGGGAAGTATGTATCACTAGTCCCATTTTTAGGTGAGAAAATTCACATTCGAGTATGTGGCTAGGGTCCCCCAGCTAGTTAGTGATGGCACTGAGATTAAATCCAGGTTTGTCTGATGCCAAATCCCATGCTCTGAATCCCTGTGCTGATGAAGCAAATTGAAACCACTGGCGGGGGAGAACTTCCTCTGCACCTTTCCAGCTATCTCTCTCTGAGGGCCTTTTTTCAGCACTGTTGAAGAATCCCCGCGGTGAAGTCTGAGCTGAGCAGATCTGCGTTAGGCAATGCCCAGCTCCCGGGGGACAGTGCTTCATGGGTGGGACAGGGGAGCCCGTTTCTCCATCGGAACAGAAGGCCAGCAGCCACAGAGGCCCTTTGCAAATGGGTGGTCCACAGTAGTTATTCTGCATATTCGTGCATGACAAACTATACAGAAAGTTTGAGACTGCAGCAGGATGGACCGAGGTGAGACTCAAGAAACCCCTCCCTAAACACATGCACTGGTGCAGGGAGGGCGGGGGAAGGCGGCAGGGTCTTTGTTAGAGCTCTGTGATCACAAAGTGCCGTGTAGATTGTCTGGTCAGGGTTCCATGGAGCTCTAAGTGTTGACCTTGGAGTCTTCCCTCAATTTGGCTGGTCTCGAGAAATTTCTGAAACCACAGTGACTCCTCACTTTCTCCACTACTTCTGGGGTATTCTAGGCTGTCAGTCTCTGGATCCCCCCGTCTCCGTCTTGTTTGGCACCGAAGCTGCTACCCTCCAGAGGTGTGCACCTCGGCCGGAGCCGCACACCTCATGCCTCACGCACCCGAAAAGAAAAAGCAGGTTTTCTGCCCTCTTTTCTTGGGGCACAGGCCCACCGTCTTTCCTCATCCCGATCATCTCCAGACCTCGGCGTCCAGACTGCCAACTGCCTGATTACCTGATGCAAATTAAGACTGCCTGCTTGACTGGGATTGGCTGCGGAGCCAAGTATGCAAATTGGCTCACCAAGACTTTATCTGGTTCCAAAGAGTTAAAGTGCTGCCCCAGAGAAGCGGGGTGTGGGGGTCAACATGATTTGAATAAAATATTCTTCTGTCTTTAAGGCTTCAGTCTTTGGGTGGTTTAATCAGGAGAGGAGCGGAGAGAGAGTTGGTTCAAAGTTGTCTCTTTTCTTCCCCCTGCTGACCCCAAGAGGAGACTCAGGGGCCTCCCACATAGGTGGTGGCAGCTGTCTGTTAAGGGTAAATGTTTAATTTATTGAAACGAAGCAGGGCAGAGAGGCCGGACCAGCAGCACTTGGGGGCTGAGCCAGGGGCCTGGTGTAGGTATTCTCTTTCTGTGGGGCACTGACCGGCTGCCATCCCTTTCTCACTGAGCCAGTTGAAGGAGTAGGAGAGAAGGTAAGGATCCCCAAAGGACAGGATCTCCAAGGAGGACAACACAGGAGCTAGGGCTTGTTCCCCAGACAGTGGGCTGACCTCTGAGACCGGACAGAGACCCGGGGCAGGACACGGGGAAGAAAAGTGACAAGGGCGAGCCTGGTTTAAGGGTACTCTTACCTTCCAGGATGGGGTTATTGTGGGAAACAGAGCTGGGGAGGCAGGGTGGGAGGGATAATCCTTTTGCTGTTTAAAAATAAATTCCTCAGATCCCAAAGGTAATGAGTGTTGGAAATGGGAAGTGTCCCCTCCACCCGCTTGTTAAATTTTTACCAACTGAGTCCTGGTGATAGAAGGAAATGGCCATGAATGATGCAAAAGGTGAGAGACCCTGCAGTGGCACGGGGGAAAGGGGAAGAGAAAGGCAAGGAGAGGAGGCGAGCACAGGAGGAGGGGATCCGTGCCCCCAGGCTTATGAATATTCTAATGGTTGTATGTTCGGGAATCAGGAATTTGAAAGTCTGATGGTTGTTGTAATTACACATTCATCTTTGCTATTTAGTTAAAGCCACATATGTCATAGCAAGAAAAATTGTGACCTGTTATTAAAATCAGTTGTGTTTTCCCTGCAGATATCAAGATGAGTGGGGATGTAGCCGATTCCACAGATGCTCGCAGCTCTCTCAGCCAGGTGGAGCCAGGTAAGGGTCTTCTCTTCTGGGGGATGGAGCCGGAATGCGGGGGCGGGGGGGGGGGGGGGGGGGGGGAGGTGTTGGGAATTGTTGAACAACTGGTTTCTCTTCTTGCTTGGTCTTTCAGCCAACCAGACCTCAAAGCTAGGTCTTAGGAACTAAGGGAATTCCCTGAAGACATGGGATATGATTCTGGAGCTTTTGAACAGTAGATTTCGCTCCACAGTAGAACAAAACCTCTGGAACTAGGCTAGGAAGGGACCAGATCCTTAAAAACACAGCAAAACCAAAAAGGTTCAGGAGCAGCTGTGTTCTAAACTGCTGTGACTGGCAGAGGCAGAACCTGTGTTTCATAGATGGGGACCAGTGCCTTTTAGCCCCAGATACCTCTGTAGCCCTACTCAAGGCACTAACCAAAGAGGCCTGTGGACAAATGCTTCTCTTCCAAATAATGTGCATGTGGGTGGCAAATAGGCTCAGAGAGGAAGGCTTGGTGCCTGGAGATGACTTTGCTTTGTAAAGAAGAGATAAAGGAAGTCAGTAGTCCCAGCTACTCAGCAGGCCAAGGTGGGAGGATTCCTTGAGCCTAGGAGTTTGAGGCCGGCCTAGGCAACAGAGTGAGAGCCCGTCTCAAAAAAAGGTGAGAAGAAGGAATTGAAAAGAAAGTTTCATAGTTCTCTATGTTTACCTCCATAGTCCAAGCCTTGCTTTGAAAGCTCCATATAATTAAAAATAACTTAAAGATGAGTATAAATTGTAACATCACCAAATAACTTTAATAGCATTCCAACCAGACCTCAATTAGTCTTTCATCTGGATTATTAGAGACACAGAAATTAGAAGTGGAAGAGAATCAATGTCCCCCAGAGCTAAAATCTTTTTCAAGTCTTCTAGAGAGGTCTAGTTCCATTCTTGAAGCTATGAGATTCAGGATCAGGGACAAGATAATTGGGGGTCTTGGTGTGCGGGGGACATCCACAGTATATGCATTTGCCATAAACTTTTCTGCTCCCCAGTTTCATACTGAAACAATGTCTAGTTGCATGGGTAGTAATACACATCAAGCTACAGTCTTTCTATTTTGCTTTGTTTATGTACAGAGGCAGCCAGACTGAGGAGAATGTGGGCCGGTCACACTCATGTTTAAATTGATTAATTAGCAGAATACGTTTTACTAAGGGTCTGTGGAGAGGGGCACCTGTTCTTCCCAGTTGAGAACAAGATTTCCTTTTAACTCAAAAACCTGAGCAAGACTTTAAATTCAGTTCAGCTAGAGAGTGACAGACACAGTCCCCACACTGACACCTTCCCACGAGAAAAATCAGCCCAGGAGCCATTATCCAGAGAAGCTGGATAGCCCTTTTTTGGAAGCAGGCTGGTTGGAGCCAACTCCTTTTACCTGGGGCCCATTGCCCCAGGTGTGTGGGGGCACAACTAAGAGAGTGTCTGCCTGGGAAGAAGACCACGCATACCAGCTTGCACTGGTGTTCTGTCACTGTGACCAAGTCAGGGTAACAGTGTTAGGAGTGAGAATGAGCCACGTAGAACCCTGAAAGGGGAGCCAGGAAAGGGAGGAAGTTCAGATCCTGGTGAGCGTTAGGAAGGTTAGTGTGTTATGGTCAATCTGAGTAATCTGGCTTCCATAAAGTAGGTTAAGAGAGAAAGAATCCAGACATCCACTCAGACCTTCCGAATCTGTCTCTTATCTTGGGTTACTGCCAGTTCAGCCAGTTCAATATATGACCAGCCACTTTGCCTCCCTAGGAGGTGGGAACTGATGACCTTTGAAGAATATGGATCTAGAATCAGACAGACCTGGGATGAAATTTGCTCTGCTGCTTACTGGCTGCATGACCTGAAAATTTATCCTTGTCCCTTTTGTAAAGGGGGAAAAGTAATGCCCAATTTACAGAGTGGGTTGAGAGTTACTTGAGATGATGTCTCAAGCCCTTAGCACAGAGCTTGGCACATGGCAGCTGTAATCGTCATTAAGATTCTAGAATAATTATTGCTGCTGAGTATTTCTGGCTCATTCCCTGCTTTACTCTGGCCAGTGCCTCAGCCTGGAATATTGGTTTTGCTGCCTTCACCATTTAGGCAAGGATTCTGCATGGGTCCCTTTTCAGCTCCAAGGAGCCAGTGATGTCTGGAACTTTGCCATTACCAGGAGATCTTTCACTTGAGGGCTCCCTGGCTGGTAGCATCAATACTTAGGTGATCTTCAAATTACTGCATGTTTTTAAGGGCAAGAAGAAAGAGGTGGCTAATTAAAGTAACCAAACTTCCTGGAAAGTCGTTCTGACTCATTTTTTTACAGAAGAAAGCTTATTATGAGTCACAATGGTTACCAGCTTGGTTTAATGGCTTCCTTTGGATTTTAAAAGGCAGATTCACCTTCTCAGCAGTGTATGAATTAAGGGGTGGTTTGTCTCTGGGTTTTAAAGGAACTATAAACAAAGGTGACTTAGAAAGCCCCAGCTCCCTGAGAGCACCCTCTGTGCTGTGTGAAATCGCCAAGGGATATTGGGGGTAGGATCTGGGAAAGGGAGGTAAACGTTCCCATTCACAATGGTCAGGAATGCCCGGGGAGCATTCTCAGGGCCAGACGCAGACCTCCTGACTGGTGGAGACCTGGCTGGGCAGCACATCCTTTCCTTTCTCTGGCCTGTGAGGAAGCCGAGGCACAGACGAAGAATAAGTTGCCCAAGAGCTTAGAATTCCTTTGCAGCAGCACAAGGGACCAGTCAAAGCTCAGGGCCCTGGTTCAGTACTCTTTCCTCTTTCTTTTTATTTTTATTTATTTATTTATTTATTTATTTTTGAGACAGAGTCTCACTCTATCACCAGGTGCCAGGCTGGAGTGCAGTGGCGCAATCTCGGCTCACTGCAACCTCCGCCTCCTGGGTTCAAGCAATTCTTCTGCCTCAGCCTCCCGAGTAGCTGGGACTACAGGCACGCACCACCACGCCCAGCTAATTTTTGTATTTTAGTAGAGACGGGGTTTCACTACGTGGGCCACGATGGTCTCCATCTCTTGACCTTGTGATCCACCCACCTCGTTCTCCCAAAGTGCTGGCATTACAGGCGTGAGCCACCGCGCCCGGCCCGTACTCTTTCCTCTTTCTACGTTTCTGAACTATCAGCTTTTCTGTCTTTCCTACCTACTGCTTCCTTATCTGTTGTTACTTTTCCTCCACTTCTTTTTTTGAGACAGATTCTCCCTCTGTTGCCCAGGCTGGAGTGCAGTAGTACAATCATGGCTACTGCAACCTCGAACTTCTGGCTCAAGGGATCCTCCTGCCGCAGCCTCCCAAGTAGCTGAGACTACAGCCATGAGCCACTGTGCCCAGCCTTTACTCCATTCTTGAGGCTGACAACAATTTCTTTCTGTTCTCAATTAAGTGGTTGTTGAGAATATAGCCTTACCCACATTTCAAAAGCCCCCAGGTCTGTAACTGACAACCCCCAAGTGCAGATGTAGCCAACCCTGTGACTTTTGACTATGCCTGGTCACATCATTGCCTCAGTCACAAGGGAGGAAAGAACAGAGGGTCAGGAGGAAGGAGGAAGAGTCTGTAACATTCACAGAGCCTCCTCCCACCACAGGCACATGCAGGCAACTTTATTTACAGCATCTCATTTAATTCTTACAATTAGGCTACGAGATAGAGACATGATTAACTTCATCTTCATTGATGAGTAAACTGTGGCTCAGAATGAGAAACTAACTTGCCCGGTATCACACAGCTTATAACCCGAAATCAAACTCATCAGGCTTGTCTGACTCTATCAGCCTCTTATCCTGGGTCTGCCATTAAATCCCTGCATGTTACCTTGGCAAGTGTTTCCCTACATGGACCTTTATTTTTCCTCCCCATAAAGGCAGGGTTTGGATTAGATAATCTCTAAAGGCTGAATTTTAAAGGAGGTGCGCACAGTTCTGCTTTTCACAATTCTTTCTGTCTGTTTCCAGATCTTGCATTTTTGTGCAGGTTTCCTCAGTTCTGAGCTCTCTCCCTCCCTCCTTTTTCCTTCCCCATTCCTTTCTTTTCAGCTTCCCTTTCAGTCTTTTCTCCTCTGACACCCACAGCTGTCTTCTCTCTTTGGGCTCTGACCCTCTTCTCCGACCTAGCTTGGCTTGTAGTTGTACAACCAGCGTCTTTGGAGGATAACTTAGTGGCAGATTCTGGGCTCAGATGAAGAGCATCCCTGTCCTCAAGGAGTTGTCCTTCTAGTGCAGGAACTCATGTCTGCCTGCCAGTGACGTGTGTCTTTAAGGGTGTTCCCAAACACGTCATGCATTTGGCTTTAACAACAGCCCTATGAGAGTAGGTATTTTTAGTCCACTTCACAGGTGGAGAAATGAGGCTGGTGATGAGAAAGAACCTTAGTTTTCCCCAAGCTCCCATACCTTGAGAATGACAGAACTAAGCCTGAGTCTTTCTGATGACTTTCTACCTAAAGATGGTGGTAGGAAGACTGGGAGTCAACATGAGGAACTAGGGACAGAGGACGTAAGACAATGTTACCTGTCCGGGCATGGTGGCTCATGCCTGGAATCCCAGCACTTTGAGAAGCCGAGACAGGCAAATCACTTGAGGTCAGGAGTTTGAGACCAACCTGGACAACACAGCGAAACCCCATCTTTACTAAAAATACAAAAATTAGCCGGGCATGATGGTACGTGCCTGTAATCCCATCTACTTGGGAGGCTGAGGCAGGAGAATCGCTTGGACCCAGGAGGTGGAGGTGGCAGTGAGCCAAGATAGCGCCATTGTACTCCAGCCTGGGCGACAGAAAGAGAGTCGGTCTCAAAACAAACAAAAAAAAGGACAATGCTAGCATTAGAGGAGGTGCCAGAATTACGGAGACTGGCACGGAGGGGCTGGAGGGGAGCCAAGTCCCCCACAGGTAGACTAATCTAGTCCAAGAAGCCACAGTTCCTCCCAGCACCCCCATATCCCTTAGGCTCAGTTGTCATTTGGCAGGGGTTAGGACCAGGGGCAGGG